TTGTTCATTAGTTTGTAGATGCATTCCTTCATTCTTGCTTGTTAATTTGTTCATAGATTCATTCCATCGTTGTTTTTATTCACTCGTTCGCAGAATCATTCCTTCTTGTGTGTTCATTGGATTGTAGATTATTTCCTTCATTCTTGTTTGTTCATTCATTTGTAGATTTATTCCTTCTTGTTTATTCATTTGTTCTTAGATTCATTCCTTCATTTTTGTTTGTTCATTGGTTCGTGGATTCATTCCTTCATGTTTAATTTATGTTTGATTGTCTATTTATTTATTAATTCATTCTTGCACTAGCCTGTTCGTATGTTCATAAATTCATTCATCATTTTAGAATTCGTAAAATGTTTTCTTTTTTCTGTTTATTTATTTATTCAGTCGTGTTCACTTGTTTATTTGTTAGTTTATTCATTGTTCTGTTCATGTGTCTATTACTGTGTTCTTTCATTCATGACCTTTTAAACGATTAATCTGTTTATTCATATGTTCATTGATTTTTGTTCATTCACATATTCATTCATCCATTCTTGATCGAAAAGTGTGTTTGCTTTTATGTTTTGAAGCTATTTAGTTTAAATTTGGTATTCAATAAAATCATTTAGGATTGAATCATGATTCCCGGAATTGAGTCACACTGAATCGTGAGATGCCTAAAGATTCCCAGCCCCCCCTTTATGCGTGTTTCAGGCCTTTTATTTGAAGAGTATCAGGTTTGTTTGTGTGTTTTAATAGAGTAGATAACAGTGAGACTGTTTATGTGTATAAGATTAATCTGGGATTTAAATAAATGAATCATCTCAGATCATTCGTCTCATAATAACATTTGCAAACATGACACAGACCCAAACAAAACAGACGCGGCCCTCGGCCCATCATTAGATAGCATGGCTGTGCCGTGACCCGTTAATGGAAGGTAATGTACCCTACAGAGTGTTAATTTGGGGTGAAAGCAGCTCAGTGTGTGTGTGTGTGTGTGAGACAGTCAGAGAAGAGTTATGAGCCGGACTGCGTGCCATCGGATGGGTCAGCGGGCATCTAATGGAGGCATTCAATAATAATCTGCCGCTCGTGCCATGTCTTTTTACTGTGTGTGTGTTAGTGTAATGGTAGTATCCGCTGTATGTATTGATGACTCCAGGGATCAATGCGTCCTGTGTTACGATCCATCCATTATGTGCGTGTGTGTGTGTGTGTGTAATATTGAAGATCTCTGCATTTGTGCTGGCAGTGAAATTGTGTTACAGACATGAACAGGAGAGTTTTTAACTGATCTGTCCATCAATTCTAATTACTAAATATAATGTAGAAACGTTAATTTTCTGTAAAGCTGCTTTGCAACGATTTGCATCGTGAAAAGCGCTATACAAATAAACTTGAATTGAATTGAAATTCAACCATTTGTTTGTTCATTTGTTCAGTCTTTCATTCGTTTGTTCTTTTATTAGTTCATATATTCATTCATTACTTAGATTCATGCTTGTTCTTTTGTCTATTCAGTCATGTTCATTTGTTCATCCATTAGTTTATTTGTTGTTCTGCTCATTTGTCTTTTTCTGTGTTCTTGGATTCATTAGTTTATCGATTTATTCATTCATATGTTTGTTGGTTTTTCGCTTTAAGTTATTAGTTAATTTGTTCATTTATTCTGTGATTTGTTCACTCTTGTTCATTGAATTGTTTTATATTCATTTATTAATTAGTTCATTCTTTTGTCTCTTGATTCATTTATTTGTTCATGTTCATCTGTTCATTCATTAGTTTCTTTGTTGTTCTGTTCATTTGTCCATTTCTTTTCTCTTTGGTTCATTAGCTTGGTAATTGATTCATTCATAGTTAATTGGTTTTGTTCGTTAGTTTATTAGTTTGTTAATTTATTGAATGATTTCTTCATTCTTTAATTAGTTGATCAAATCTTTAATTGATCATTCATTGCTTTAATTCATATGTTTGTTCTATTGTCTGTTCATTCATCATATTAGTCATGTTCATCTGTTCATTCATAAGTTTTTTCATTGTTCTGTTCTTTGTCTAATTGTGTTTTTTTTATTTGTCAGTTTGTTGATTGATTCATCCATTCATTTTTGATTATTTTTTGTTCATTAGTTTATTAGTTTGCTTGTCAATTTATTCCATCATTCTTTCATTAGTTTGATCATTTATTTGTTTATATGTTCATATTTATTAATTACTTTAATTCATATATTCTTTTTTTCTGTTTCATTTATTCAGTCATGTTCATTTGTTTATTCATTAGATTGTTGGTTTTTCTGTTCATTAATTAATTCATTTTTGTTCATTAATTTATTAGTTTATTCTGTCATTTGTTCATTCTTTCATTAGTTTTTTCATTCGATCATATCTTCAATTGTTCATTCATTACTTTAATTCATGTTTGTACTTTTGTCTGTTCATTCATTTATTCAAACGTGTTCATTTGTTCATTCATTAGTTTATTTCTGTTCACTTGTCTATTTCTGTATTCTTTGATTCATTAGTTTGTTGTGTGATTCATCCGTTCATTCGTATGTTCATTGATTTTTGTTCATTTAGTTTATTAGGTCATTAATTTATTCCTTCATTGGTTTATTCATTTATTAGTTAACTCTTTTGTCTGTTCATCAATTTGTTCTGTCATGTTCATTTGTTCATTCGTTAGCTTATTTATTAATCTCTTTATTTGTGTTCTTTCATTCATTAGCTTTTCATTGATTCATTAATTCATTCTGACATTTGTTCATTCACATATTTATTAGTTTGTTGTTTAATTAGTTCGTTCTTGTTTGCTTATTTGTTTGTTGATTGATTGATTGATTCATTCATTCTTACATTAGTTCAAATAAAATGTTCTTTGGACTGTTCATTCTTTTATTAATTCAAGTTTATTTGTTCATTCAGTAGGTTTTATTTATACTGTTCATTTAGTTTATTTCTGTTCTTTCATTCATCAGTTTGAATGATTCCTCTGTTCAGTGATACATGTACATTCTCATATTCATTCATTCGTTCATCCGTTTATTAATTCATCCATTCTTGTTTGTTCATTTGTTTGTAGATTCATTCCTTCATTTATTCAGTTTGTCTATGCAATGTTCATTCATTCGTTTGTGCATACATCCAGTCTTTGTTCATAGATTAATTCATTTGTTTGTTCATTTTATCTGTTTATTCATCTATTTATACATTAATTCTTGCCCATGTTCATAATTTTGTTCCTTATTTTGTTAATTCACTATATGTTTGTTCTTTTGTTTGTTCGTTAATTTATTCAGTCATGTTCATTTGTTTGTTCATTCATATGTTCATTGATTTGTTTGTTAATCCATTCATCCATTCACATTTAGTTCGTAGATTCATTCGTTCAAGTATCAGTTTGTTTGTCTGTCCATCAAGCGTAGCGTTAGTTCTGGCAGGTCACATTAGTCAAGCTCGCATCAGCTGACCTTCAGCTGATCCCCATCTACCTATAGGTATACGATACCTATCTAAGCATTCATATAGAAGGTCCCTCAGTATTATCAACAGTTTTTGCATTGCTCAATAGCTAATTACCCTCCTCCATCCCCAGCTCCTCCTCTGTCAGTCGGGATTCAGCCTTCTGATTCTCCTTTGAATCAGACTAATTCTAAAATGTGTACATAAAATGATTGAACTTTAACAATATCTGCAATACATGTATGTTGGTTCTGTTCTGTTTACCCTGGGGGGGGTTATCACTGCTCTCCCTGCTCTCATCCATGCTAGGCTGCATGGATGCGCAGGAAGTTCTTGCCCAGAACAGAACCATACCGCCAATCCAAACTGTATGCTAATTGTCAATCATCTTTGACGATAGTGGTCCTGACAGAAATTTGTTTATCCATCTGTTCATTCATTTATAAGTTTATTCATTCAAAGCAAAGAGTAGGAATGATAGAGGTAGCGTAAAAGAGAACGTCAGAGATCTCACAACGTCGTGTTTATTTGAACTTAAATAAGCAGCAGTTACTCCATTAACCAGGGATCACTTAGAGATGACTGAGATTCTGTTTCATAATGAAGCCTCTCTGGACCCCAAACGAGCTCGGCAGACGCAAATTACAGTATAAGAGGCTCTGAGAAAATTGACATTTGTGAATAAATTGGCGTAATGGGGATTTTTGTTGCAAAAGTTTATTCTGAGATATTGAGAGATGTGTTATGCATTCTAAACCTAATTTATACTCATTTCATACAATGCTTCAATTGTACACCACCATTCAAAAGCATATATAACTGTTTTATATTGTAATATATTTTACAAAATAAATAAAAATATCATGTTTGATTAGTAATATTTGATCAGTCGTGGCCTAATGCTTAGAGAGTTGGACTTGTCCCCCAAAGGTGTTTTATATTGTAATATCTTTTAAAATGTTCATTAAAATAATCACTTTTGAACAGTAATACTGCGAAATATTTTTACAATTTAAAATAGCTGTTTTATATTTGAACGTGCTTTTATGTTGTAATGTATTTTAAAGTATAAATTAAATCAGTAATGATGTGAAATATTATTACAATTTAAAATAACTGTTTTAATATATTTCAAGACGTAAATTAAAATGATCACCCTCATACATCTTTGCTAAATTAAAGCATCCATTTCTTTCGAAAATCTTACTGACCCCAGACTTTTTAATGCGTGCTGGAATTGAAATTAAAATGATCACCCTCATACATCTTTGCTAAATTAAAGTATTAATTTCTTTCAAAACATCTTACTGACCCCAGACTTTTTAATGCGTGCTGGAATTGAAATTAAAATGATCACCCTCATACATCTTTGCTAAATTAAAGTATTAATTTCTTTCAAAAAAATCTTACTGACCCCAGACTTTTTAATGCGTGCTGGAATCGATGATTTGCTAGCCCATCATCTAATGGAAATTTTGAAATGCATCAAAAAGCAGTATGCTTCTCTACATTTCCCCACTCACTTCCTGATGTTTCATGTTGTCTGTGTTTTTTTTTCCCAGGTGATGATGACTTCCTGTTGGGGTTGGGTGAGCTGCCGGAGACCTTCCCCAGTGACCCTCCAGAGCCCCTCCCACACTTCCTGCTGGAGCCGGAGGATGCTTACATCATCAAGAACAAAGCTGTCAATCTCTACTGCACGGCCACGCCTGCCGCTCAGATCTACTTCAAATGCAACGGCGAGTGGGTCCATCAAAGAGAACACACCATAGAGGAGCGGGTGGACGAGACGTCGGGTCAGTCACACACACACACACACACACACACACAGCATCACTCTCCTTTATGGGTCGGAAACATTACAGCCTTTTCTGAGGTGCAATAAAAATGTGATAGCTCTGCTTTATTCATGGTTTTCATTGCTAGAGGTGCTGCTAGAGAGATAGATAAACCCCTTCCTGACACGTACAGGTTTGTGTATTATTTATGTGATGTTATTAGAGCTTTTTTATGAAGGCTTCTTTATATGACTGCTATGGACACAGGGAGTAAGTATAGTCAACACCAACTGTGATCAGAGACACGACCTAGACCACTTTCACTGACCGTGGATATATATGGAAGCTTGTTTCCGCCATGGGATGAAAACAAAATAAAAAATAAAAAATTATCTCACAATTCAGACTATTCTCACAATTCTGAGGAAAAATGTCAGAATTTCAAAAACAAAGTCAGAATTTCGAGTTTATATCTCGCAATTCTGACTTCTTTTTCTCACAATTGTGATTTACAGTATATCGCACAATTCTGATATTTTTCTCAAATTCTCAGTTTATATCTCGCAATTACGAATTCAGATCAATTTAGATCAATGTTGATTCAATTCAGTTCAAAAACTGTCAGTGTTACAAAGTTCATCAATTATGAAACAAGTTTAATTCAGCCACACCGTAAAAATGTTTTTTTTTTTTTTTTTAATTGTAAACTGGCGTACATTTTACAAGAAAATAATACTTCAGTCTTTCTACTTTAAATTTTTTCTTAAATGTAAATTAAAAAAAAAATTTAAATTTTTTTTTTTAAATGTAAAAAAATTTTTTTTTAAATGTAACATTTTTAAAATGTTACATTTTTACAATTTAACATTTTTTACATTTAACATTTTTGTTTAATTCTTTGTAAAATTTGTTAGCAATTTCTGAGTGAAAATTGTTTCAAAGTAAGTCCTACATCATATTTTTTCAGTGTATAATTAGCTACAAAAACTAATCTACAATAGTCATTATTCAGCTCAAGTAATTTCAATGTTGATTCAATTCAGTTCAAAAACTGTCAGTGTTGCAAAGTTCATCAATTATGAAACAAGTTTAATTCAGCCACACCGCAAAATTTTTACAATGAAACAAGTTTAATTCAGCCACCGTAAAAAATTTTTTTTTTTTTTCAAAGTTGTAAATAAAACATTGGAGTACATTTTACAAGAAAATACTACTTCAGACTTTCCACTTAAAATTTTTCTTTAATTAAATTTTTTTTTTAAATGTAACGTTTTTAACATTTACATTTTTTTACATTTAAAATTTCTGAGTGAAAATTATTCACATTATTATATACATCATAATTTTCAGTGTGTACGTAGCTACAAAAAGGAATCTACAACAGAGTCATTATTCAGCTCAAGTAAGTTCAATGTTGATTCAATTCAGTTCAATAACAGTGTCAATGTTGCAAAGTTAGTGTCATCCGGCTCAATTCAGTTCAGATTTTGTCCTCCTCCGATAGTGTCAGTGCAGTTAAATCGATAACATTATTCTTTAATAATTGTCTTTTAAACAGAAGATACTAGAGATTCCGAGTGAAATAATTAAATAAATAAGGCATTGACTCTCAATAAAAAAGGTGTTTTATTGGTTTTATGGTTTCAAGAAGAACCTTTAACATGCGTTTGAGCCAAAAATTGTTGTTCTGTTTTTAAGAGTGTTGTTGATTTAATCAGGTGAGCAAATCACAGTGTCTGTTGTCTTTTTCAGTCACGATTCTGAAGCTCAAACTGTATCGCATAGCATTAGCAGTGCCAAGGTCATGGGTTCGATTCCCAGAGAATGCATGAACTGATGATATGGTATATATACATTCAGTGCAAAGTCCGAGCATCTGCCAAATGCATAAATATCTTTTCACATCGCGACAACAGAATACAGAGTAAAAGCCAAGAAAAGTGAGTGATCCAGGTCCACTTTTGGTGATAGTCAAATGCTAATGTGTTACAATTCATAGTCATTTCTTTTCCACTTTCAAAATGTTTTATACGAGGAAACTTTCAGTGACATAAAAACCATGAGCGCAGAGCAGATGGGTATTGGCATATTGCTATTACTGGTTACTGTACTGGTATGAAGAAGATAAGTAAGTGCTAATGAAACATAAATTAAAGATTCTAATGATCTACTACTATGTTCAGAAGTTTGGGGATTGTAAGACCCTCACCCAAGGCTGCATTCATTTGTTTAAAAAATGCAGTAAAATCAGTAATATTGTGAAATATTATTACAATTTAAAAATACTGTTTTCTATTGTAATATTTTGTAAAATGCAATTTATTCCTGTGATGCAAAGTTGATTTTTTTAGCATCATTACTCCAGTCTTCAGTGTCACAGGATCCTTCAGAAATCGCTTTTGATCAATTTAATGCATCCTTGCTGAATAAGATTAATAATTTACTGACCCCAGACTGAATGAGAAATCTAGCTATAGAATGAGACGTTTTAGGTGAATGTTTCACCTATAGCACTCAATTGCAGCAGAATGCAACAATCTTAAAATGAAACCAAGCTTTTGCACTCACATATTTGCACATGTTTTAGGCCTAATGCATGCTATAGAAGACAGAAACACTGCCGTGCATTTCAAGGTTAAGTTAGTTCGATCATTCAGAGCAAAAACAGCACGTATTGGCTGAGGCTGAAGCGCAATCACCTCACCGCAGCAGAAACCGACATGAGGCGCTCTCGGTGTGGGCGAGCGAAGAGCTCAATTCATTACGCAGAGGTTAACAAGCTCCTATTGAGCTAATGACTCTAATGGATCTTTGATATCAACCCGCCGCAGTAATTCGGCTCTAATATCTCTGCGGTGGAAACTTTACTGTCATAATCACACCTCGGATATTACTCGGGGTCAGAGCGTGGAGTTATTACGGGCCGCCGAAACGAGGCCGGCTGCTCTAAACACAGTCATTGAACTTTATCGAGTGGCCTTAATGTGCGATGGTAACGTTTATCATAAAAAATTATAGTGCGTGTGAGAGAGAAAGAGATTTAGAGAGAGAGAGCGAGAGAGATAAAGTTGATGCTTTTAATTAGATTTTCACTCTCACTGTTTGGTTTAGGTCTGTCTTTGTTCGCTGGCCACGAGCTCCCTCTGGCATCGCTATCTGTCTCTATTTGGGATGGTGTAATATCGTTATGAATCAATATCATTGTTCGTTTTGGCAATTGTGAGTAAACAAGGTTAAATCTGTTCCTTGTCATGAAAGCTGGTGTGTAATCGGCTCATGGTGTGTGTGTTGAGTGTTTCGTGTTTCCAAATTGCGCAGAAGATTCAGATTGAGCCTCATTATCTGGTTCAGTCAGAAAGACTCTTTCCTGCTGCGGTCTTGGTCTCAGAGGGCCTCGTTTAAACAGACGTGTTAGTATATTTACAGAACAGAACGGCGTTCAGAAAAACGTCCGCCATATTCACAAAGTCAAGTAAGTTTCCATTGTTTTCTAGAAGAACGATCATTTATCTTTTGGTGGGCAATGGTGATGGGATTTAAGCTCATAAAAACTGAATGTATAACATAATTAGAAAAACAAATATTGTTGAAGTATTCATCTGATATTTTTAATGCATGAAAAATGCTGCACAGGGACATCCATGAATGTTTTTTGGAGTGATCGTGAAAATGAATCCTTGAATCATTTGATTCATTGGAAATAACAGTTTGAACTGATTCACAGAAATGAATCAAATTTACTGACTCTAGCTGCTTTTATGCAACTGAGTTTGAATTCTGGGATTGCATTTAAACATCTCAGTCTTGATGCTTTTTTATTGAAAATATAAACTACCGTTCAAAAGTTTGAGTTTTTAATGCTTTAGGAATAGGTCTCTTCTGCTCACCAAGGCTGCATTTATTTGATCAAAAATACAGTAAATACAGTAATATTGTGAAATATTATTACAATTGAAAATAACTGTTTTCTATTTGTATATAATGTAAAATGTAATTTATTTCTGTGATGCAAAGCTGAATTTTCAGCAGCCTTCAGTGGCACATGATCCTTCAGAAATTATTATACTATGCTGATTTGCTCTTCAAGAAACAGTTATGATTATTGTCAATGTTTAAAACAGTTGTTCTGCTTCATAATTTTTGTGGAAACCATGATACATTTTCTTCAGGATTTTTTTGATGAATAGAAAGCTCAAAAGAACAGCATTTCTTTGAAATGGAAATCTTTTGTTATAGATTATAAATGTATTTACTGTCACTTTTGATCTATTTGTTGCATCCTAGCTGAATAAAGCAATTGATTTCTTTAAAAAAAAATTACTGACCCCAAACCTTTGAACAGTAGAGTATGTTTGTGAACAATATACTCGCGTGCACAGTTTTTTTATGTTTCAGATTAATCTGCCTTGTCTGTTCTTGACAGACGTCCCAAAGAGAAAATTGCAACAGGAATTAAGTTTTTATTCACAATAATCCAAAACAAAAGTGTGTGTGTGTGTGTGTGTTTGCGTGTACTAACAGATCTCGTTGTAAACACACCCCATCCCATTATTGCTGTCATTGATTTTCTGTCTGCGTTTATGTGTGTGTGCTTTTACATGCTTTGTGCGTTTTTATGCTTGCAAGGCTGCGCTGTATTGATATTCATCCAGCAGTCAATGTTAGAGGTGTTTTTAAGGCAATATTATTATTGCTAGTGCTCATAGTGCTTTGAACAAACCTCTAACATTAAATGTTAAGGTTCAGTGTGGGTCGTCCTGCAGTGATTGTGTTCAGACGTGAATGATTGTGTGTGTGTTTGCGTGTACTAACAGATCTCGTTGTAAACACACCCCATCCCATTATTGCTGTCATTGATTTTCTGTCTGCGTTTATGTGTGTGTGCTTTTACATGCTTTGTGCGTTTTTATGCTTGCAAGGCTGCGCTGTATTGATATTCATCCAGCAGTCAATGTTAGAGGTGTTTTTAAGGCAATATTATTATTGCTCATAGTGCTTTGAACAAACCTCTAACATTAAATGTTAAGGTTCAGTGTGGGTCGTCCTGCAGTGATTGTGTTCAGACGTGAATGAGTCCTCAAATCATGTGTGTTGTTGAGGAGAGGTGAGCTGGTACCTTAAGTGATCAGACACATGATTTTCACTTGCTGGACAATAAAACTTACAAAAACAGACTTATACATTGGTCTATAGATGTTGCTCTGGTCCTTCCTTCAGAGTATCTCAGAGATTTGAGGCTACTTTTGAGTGCATCCACAAAATGCTCATGCTCTGAATGAGATATGCATTTTGTCTACATATTTTTGCGATCCAAACAACCCCTTTCATCAATGAAATGCAATTCTCGTTCACAGGATTAGCATTTTGTGGATGAAATGTATTGCATCTTTGCACAAAACTCACATTTAGATTCAGAATTGTGTGTGCATAATAAAGTTCTGACTGTACATTTCTATTTACAACATGCATCCTTGTTTTGTCTTGAAATACTGCATTTTACATTATACACTGCAATTATTTGACACCCCATACAAAACAAACGTGGAATACTTACATATGTGGAATGACAAACTGTGCCGAGTTCCACGTCCCAAAACAATGTTTGTACGTTAAGCGACTATTCGTGAGCTTAATTAACTGCAGATATATATGGAGAAAAAGATTTATCCAGAAAATGCAAATAGGTCAAAAATGCAATTTGTAGATCATTTCAGCCTGAGATATACCGTCACTGTTTTTTGTACACTTCATAATTTTTAAGAAATTTAAGATAAAAGTTCCTCAGAATCTCCCAGTGACTACGATAGAATGTTTTGCACACAAAATGTAATTGACAGTGCATTCTGTTTAGTGATTGGTCTTCTTTCTTACATTTATTTGCATACTGATTTGTGATTGGTCATTTCTTTCTTGCATCATTTTAATCATCTTTAGCTGCCTTGTATTGTTTCTGCCGCCTTGCAAAAACTTTAGGTGATGCGAATCGAGTTTCCTATTTGTTTTTTAACATCTGTTTTAAATAATTATAGTTTGTTTGTTTTTTTTTGTTTTTTTCGCGTTGTCTGTCTGTTAGTAGTTACATTTCTTTGTGTGTGTGTGTTCACTGCAAAAATCATTTTCTTAATCAGTATTTCTTGTTTTCAAAATTAAAGCAAATTAAATCATTTAAGAAGAAAAATTACAGAATTAAGAGACCATGCATTATTTTTTTGTCTTGTTTTTTTCATGATCACAACTTGATTTCTATACATTTTCTCATGATCTTGACTTGAGTGGAAAATGTTTTAAGCATAAATTCACTGTAAAATGAATGCTTAGTACAAGAAGAAATAAATAGATATATTCTCTGAAAGCAAGTCTTATATCCTATGAAATTTGCTTCTCAAATACATTTATCTTGCTGTAAGTATATTTTAAAGAAAACAACGCAAAATCCCTGCAGTGTGTCTGTCTGTCTGTTTCACTCACTGCATCGAGTTCTTGAGTGTGTAAACCATAAAGTTAGATCATCATTCTTCACCTCATCCTGTGTGAATCCTGCTCTATTCTCTTTTATAGCTGCTTGACCATGAGTGATGTTTGTTTAAACATTCATGTGTGTAAGTGTGTCTTTTCACCTCACTCCTGTTCAAGGCTACAGGTTTCTGCCGTTCACATCCAGCATTCTGCACCAAATGCTGCCATAAACACAAAAACCCAAAGCACTAAACAAATAAACACAGAGAGGGTAAGTGTGAACTATTGATTTCTATCAGGGAATCATTTCATGGAGACATTGAGGGGTTCGTTATTTATACATGTACAACAGAATTCTGCTGGCAGAGCACTAAAATATATATAAAAACATCTCGCTTGCATCATGTGACATCGGTGTGATCGGCACTGACGTGGTGGGAGATCAAGCTGTGTAGTCTCACAAGCTGTTCACAGGGCATCTGAGGAACTTTGTGCTCAAAAATGTCAACAGCTTTGTCAGGCCTGATTTGTGCAATTTTGTGTGAACATGTTATACGGTCATACAGATTTGGACAATATTAGGGAAATGTTCTTGAATACATGTTATTTTAGTATCACTGATATTCTATTATAGTTTTTGTTAATATTCTGAATTATAATAAAAACATCTCGCTTGCATCATGTGACATCGGTGTGATCGGCACTGACGTGGTGGGAGATCAAGCTGTGTAGTCTCACAAGCTGTTCACAGGGCATCTGAGGAACTTTGTGCACAAAAATGTCAACAGCTTTGTCAGGCCTGATTTGTGCAATTTTGTGTGAACATGTTACACGGTCATACAGATTTGGACAATATTAGGGAAATGTTCTTGAATACGTGTTATTTTAGTATCACTGATATTCTATTATAGTTTTTGTTAATATTCTGAATTATGTTTTATATTTAAGCCTTTTCACTTTAATTTTAGTTAACATTTTTGTAATTTTGTTGTGTTTTTGTCATTTTATAAGTTTTTGTTTTTATTAATTGTTATTTATTAGTGTTATTTAATATTAGTTATTTTAGTACTTCAAGTTAAACTCAATGAAAATGAGAAATGTTGCCTTGGCAACTAAATTAGATAAAATAAGTTTCACTGTTTATTTATATTTTATATCATTTAATGTTTTTTTTTTTCAAGTAAATTTTTTTTTTTTGCAGTTATGTATTCAAATTGTTACCATTTATTATTTCTACATGATCTGATTATGAGGGAGAGGGAGTTAATAAAAACCTAATTAATAAAAATTAAAATAAAAGTCCATACATGACACACATGTTACATTAATAAATCTTTTTTTTTTATTCTTTTCTTCTCAATTTGCTATCAGTAATGTACATTTGGGTGTTTTTTTACATTTTGTCATCAAGTTATTATTTTTTTGTTTATTATTTATTTGTTTTATTTTATTTTATTTTTTCGATTTAATTTCTGTCAACCACAGCTGCCCGTTTTTAACCATGAATTTAAAGGGGTCATATGATGCAATTTCAAGTTTTCCTTTCTCTTTGGAGTGTTACAAGCTGATTGTGCATAGATAAGATCCCTGAAGTTGCAAAGACTAAAGTCTCAAAACCAAAGAGATATTCTTTATCAAAGTTAAGACTCTGCCACGCCCCCCTAAAATGGCTCGTTCTAACACACCCCCACATATCTACCTCACTATGTGGAAATATTTGCATAATGCGCCCAAATGTGCACGCAAAGAAAGAAGAC